GTCTTCGTCCTGCTCAACTTGAAACCTTTAGACTCAAGAGCATGTCTCCAAATCTCTAGCCTCTCGTTGACGCCGCCTCGTGTCTCGTCAATTAGAATAATGTCATCAGCAAATAGCATGCACCATGGCACCTCCCCTTGAATATGATGAGTCAGTGCATCCATCACCAGGGCATCCATCCCAATAAACATGAAGTCAAATTGCATATTAAAGAGGGCAGAAGATTTTAATAGTTAATATAAGTATCTGTTCTACTAAAAAAAAAAAAGAGGGTAGTAAGATCTCACAATGATATAAGAAAGAGGGCAGTAAGATCTCACAATGATATAAGAGGCGGATCCAGGATTTGAACTTTATGGATTTGAGTTCGAAATTCTACAGGAATCCACTTGATTTACCGGGTTCGAAATCAATTATTTGTACTTATTTTAGTGATTTTTTAACACGTATGCACGGTCCGAGCAAAAGCTACTAGGTTAGGATGAATCTATATCTTACTCTCTACATCATCCCACAACTTCAACTAGAATAGACATTCATTTTCAAATGAAGAGCCACATTTAAGAAAAGTCCAATTCAATCAACAAATATAAGGACTTAAGACACGAGCATAAACTTTTGCATTTCCTTTTCTTCTATAAAGTTTAAGGAATGTGCAACAGAACAAATGCTCAACATTGAAATCTTAAGATCATAAGTTAATACTAGCAAATTGGCGTGATCATTGAAAATACAACACAATAGATTTTGGTGGTTAAATTTAACTATCGAAATTGTTAATGCCTTTTTCTTTCCTACTAACTGACAAATCTTCGAGGGCCAGTAGCTCATGGTATGAGACTCAATGGATTATGGTCTCACTCCTTACCCTTTTCCACCTAAATATCACACTTTTATCATGAAAGGGCTCAATCGCATGATGTGCATCTAATCCACACATCACTCATTGTGTTCTTATCACTAGGCCAAAGCCCCAAGTTGTGGGCTAATCCTTCTCCTTTTTTAATTTATTTTGCTCCCTCCCCGGGGGCCAATAGTTGTTTTTGCAACTTCCCCCGCTTGGCAACTCGACTCAACCTCTCGGTGGGAAGAGGAGTGTTGTTCCACTTAAGATACAGAGTAATTAAATATACCTCTTATAAACGTGAGAAATAACATTTCCAATTTTCATTTCTCATCTCGAAATTCGCCTTTGAACAGTGTACAACCTCTTAGTAACAACAAAATTCAAACAAAGAAAAAAAATTAGACCATAAAAATGGTGTCGCGAATCTGCAAATACAAAATAGAGGGCCTAGATGTAGACAACCATTTTATTTTAGACTAGTGTCAGTGTTAAGTCCATTACAAGAAAAACACCAAACGAATCAATATGCATAAAATCAGATAAACGTGATCGATGACATGAAAAAAAATTATAAAAAAAAATGAGTTTCACGTAAAAGAAAATCACCAACTAAATCGAAGAGTGTGAAGAAAAAGTTGTACCTGAATTTTCGTAAAGAGATGCTGAATGGTGAAAAGATAATGGAGTATGTATGAAATAGAAGAGGCAAACAGAAGATTCTACATTAGGGTTCGTTGGGCTGTTAGCTAACATGCGCTCTATGTAACTGGTACGTACACGTCCATGTAGCTAGCAGAGTATCAGTCTGCCCACTATCGCCTGGCGAAAGTCGTGCTCAAGCAATGCCAAATTAATTTTTTTCCCGAAAAAAACATGAAAGAAAGAAAGCTAGAAAAACTTGCTAAGAGCCCTTGGGCCAACCTGCAAAAATCTCTTTTTTCAAAAGCAATTTAAAAAAAATAGTATGTATTTGACCAATTCATTTAAGAAGTACTCTTTGCAATATTTGATAAACAAATAGTATTTGATCAATCTTTTTAAAAATAATTTTGAGTGTCAAATTACCAAAAAGGATATTACCAAAGTCTTATAATTCTTTTAAAGAAAAAATGAACTCAAATATTTATCATAAGAGACTTTTATTATTTTTTTATTTTATTTAATTAAAATATAAAACATAAAGTAAACAAATATATTAAAGATTTAAATCAATTTCACATATATAGTTATATCAAAGCATATATTATTATTTAGTATAATTACTTATTGTTACATGATGATTTGAATAATCAAAATACATCATTTAATATGAATTAGAATTCTATTCCACAAATTACTATATATTGATAATCTACCATGAAATAATAAGTAAAATCACTCACACATGATAATATTTCTCAACAATTTCATCTCTACGTCTATCACACAACGCCTCCATATTAGTAGAAGATTTGCCTTGCATTTCTAAAGGAACATCAGAAGGCCCAACTCCTTCCTCAATATTTGTAGTAATGTTTTCATTAGCATAATAATTGAATTCCTTATCGGTAGAAGAATGTCGTCGGATGAAATTATGTATAACCATGATAATTGTAATTAGATGATTCTGAGTGTCAAACTTGAAAGATGGCATTGAGCGCGAAATAGAAATAATTTTAAATATATAAAAATATTTTTTTTTGTAAAAAAATAGTTAAGTATGTTTAAATTCAGATTCAACAAGAGTAACTAATTATTAGCAACACATAATGTATAATTTAAGTTTTTCAAAATTTAAATTCAAAAAGAAACTAATTAGTATTACCTAACCTTACTAACTTTGTCCTAAATTGCCGAGTGACCTACTGTCACTTGGCTTAATGTGTGATGTTTTTTCTTCTTCTTTTAATAATATATAAATAGATTATACGATGCAATTGTGAATTTATTACCTATTTGTAGGTAATTTTCACAAATTAGATTTGATAATTGTTTTAAAGATTCGGGAACTAATAGCATATAACAAAAGAAATTATAGATGGTTATTTGTAGGAAGAGAATTGATAATCCAAAGAAGGATGTAGATAATTTACTTTAGTGTGAAAAAAGAAGAAGATAATTTGGAAAGTTACGAGACATTACACAAAAAAAATCAAAAACAAGAAAAGTCAATAAAGAATTTAGAAAGTTACAATATGATTCATGTATATGATATCTTTAATTTTAAAAGTATGATAAAAACTAGAAACAAAAATGAAAAGAAAAAACTTAAATTAGTAAGGGATAATTTGGAAAATATAAATGCATGGTGAGGATAGTTTTGTCTTGAATAAATTAATTTTCTGCTTCTGCTTCTGCTTCTGCTTCTTAGAAGAAACCAGAATTTTCTGTTTTTTCCCAAAAGTAGAAAAACTGCTTCTGCTATTGGCCAAAAATACTTCTCTGTATTGGTCAAACAGCTTAAATTTTTTAAAAGTACTTTTTTAAAGGAAAAAAATACTTTTGGCTTCCCAGAAGCTTGGCCAAATAAGCTATGTGATAGATTTTAGCCTTTTAGGTAATCCTCCCTTTCATTTTGTACGACTCTTTTTTCTAAATTTTAAAAAAGAACTATGCCTTTTTTATATCTAAAACTCTTAGACTTTTCTTTTTTGAAGGCAAAACTCTTTAACTTTTACATTTGTATTTAATCGTTAATGATATACTTTTATAGTTATAGAAATTTTAAGGCATGTTTAAAATCATAAGTTTTAAGGATTTTTTTTGGTATATGCCAAAAGTATTTGTTTTTTGTTAAATTCTAGGTTAGATTAAATACCGTTATATAAAATAATAATTTAGGAGAATTATTGGAGTTTTAGGAAAATTTCATGACTATTTCATTTTGTTAAAAAAGGGTACAAATCATTCAAAACGTGAACGAGTGTTTATTTTATAACTTCAATTGAATAGCAGCATGCGTCTTTATTTAGAAAATGATAAAACGGTGAATTAGTAAAGTAGAATAGCTTGTGATACATCGTCGATCTTAGGGCGCATAGATTGGATTGTATTTTTTTCCTTCATAAGTTTCTTAATGTATCTTTAGCACTCCATCGTCTCAACTAACCAACCACTCATAGAAGAAGCTAACATAGACAATGATATGGCAATATAATGCACGTCCCACCAAAACCACCAGATTGTTAGTTTTTCCAACAATTATGGTGATGTATGGGAGAGGTAAGCAATAATGCAACTCTCCTTAGTGAGATAAGCAATAATGCAATGAGTGGTAGGTGAGATGAGAATATTGCAAATTGATCCTTCTTGGTAGGTGAGATTTGCACTTATGGTCCCTATCTCAAAACTATAAATACCCCCTTCCATTTCATTGTATAACACACCAAAAAAAAATATATCAAAACTCAAGAAGAAAGAGTTTGAGAGGGAGAGAGATATAGTTCCTTTAGGAATGTTTCCTAACAGGGGAGTGACAAAATAGTGAGTAGAATACTAGTCGGGTATTTTTCGGGAAACACTTTTGTGTGCGCCACTATTTTGGGTAGAGCTCAGGAATTGTTGTACCTCCAAATTATTGGGGAAGTCTCTCTTTGTATGCCTGCTAAATGTTTTAGTGGAAGTTGGTGTCGGATTTGTGGACGTAGCCTAAACGTTTTAGGTGAACCACGTTAAATATTGTGTCATTTATTTTTGGTTTCGTTGATCATTTATTTTATTCCGCTGTGCAGTAGTGTTTAGTGCCACCGGGTCCTA